ATCGCAGGCTGGTTTGAGTCATACACAATTAGGGAAACAAACACGGGTACGACTTGTGGCGATGGGCAGCACGGCAAGGTCTCAGCAGGGACCTTGGTGAGAAAATAATCACCCAGGACCAATTTTTACAACTGGGCACTAAGCAACCCCCCAGGGCCCTGTGATCATGTTAAAAAGGTGAAGGCAGACAGGTCTCCCCTGCAGGTGTGCATGGCTTCAAAATGATAAATTTAAGCAGCACATTTCTGTGCTCTCCATGCAACCCAAACCCTTGGCACTGCCGCGAGAGATATCCTGACAGCATCCCGCAGCGAGAGTGTGACGGTACCTGCAGCCTGCCTGGGAAACTGCCTCCCCATCCCCTCCCTGCCTGGCCAAAATGGGATGTCATTTTAACCTGACAAGTTGCAGAAACCTTTTTTTTAATGTATCGTTAAAAAAAAAAAACAAAAAAACAAAAAAACACCACATAACGGATAAATTCTGAAAGGGCATAGTGAAGATAAAATTAATTTAACTGAAATACCAAACAGCAGCACGAGCATCTTTTAGTCCAGCCTGCATCAGGAGGAGCGCACAGATGTGTAAATTCCTCAGTACGAGATCACGCCCGTGTGACAAAGCTTTTGTAACTAAAGCCACACATGTACTGAGAGCTCAAGCCAGCTGGGCAGAAATAGGAGTTTAAGGGGCGGTGATCTTACCAAAAATAAAAACCAGCTTTATAACAGGGGAGTGATATTTAAAAACAAATGCAAACACCAAATGAAAAGCTCTCTGTCTCGCAGTATTTCATACTGTTGAGCAATTTCATAGGTATTAAGAAATATTGTTAAAATAGAAAATTGGTCTGAAATGTCTCCTGCGAGGAGCACCGTAAGCTGGCTGAGAATCCTGAATATTTGCAACAAACAGAAGAAGAAAAGTTGAAAAAAAAAAGAACTTCCTGCTCCTAACATCTCAAGAGCCAGGTCTGCAGGTGTCCGTGGTGGGGAAAAACACTCCTGCTCCGACAGCAGGCACCTTGACCTGGCAGGTGTGGGACCCCAGAGGAGAGTCCCTCGGGGAGAGGTGGCTGAGGACACAGCCTACGGGACAGGGCCTTGGAAATAACCAAGCTAAAGCCTTTCTGTGCATGCTTCACATCTTTTTATGATTTGAATGCCTCCTTTATTTATCTTCTTTTCTTTTTTTCTCACTCAGATCATTAGGGGTGCCTGTGCTGGGCAGTGCTGGAGGGCTGAGCCCCCTTTTCAGCCTCAGCCTGACCTGGCAAAAGACCTGCTGGACCCCAACCTCAGGAGCAGAGTGCCGATGCTTCGCTCTAGAAATCCAGGTGATTTACAGGCAACTGAATCGCTGCCATCTTTTCAGCTCCGCGCTGACGGAGCTGCTCTCTGCTATGCTGCCCATAATCTTTTTTTCTGCTGACACCTTCTCACATCCAGGCAGAAAGGAGACCAAGCTCCTGCACTTCAGACTTAGAAACACAACTGGTCTGTTCCCCCTTGCCATGCGAGGTGTCGCTGGGGTGCCATGCTCCTATAGCATGTGGGAAGACAAATATCTGACAAAATAAGCATCCCCAGGGCACTCTGCTGCTCTGCCCCTCTGCTTGGACACCAGCAGGGCAGGGAAACTAAAACCATCAATGCCAAGTGGCATCTCCTCGCAAAGGTCATCCGTTTTGGGGGACAGCACTAATGGGACAAGCTTGGGAGCTTTGGGTTATGGGTTTTTTCTGTTTAAAAAGCATTTAAAAACCCAGTGCTAATGTAAACACTTTGTTTTTCAAATGAAATATAAAGTAAAATATCTATGTTCTGGTAATATTTACATTATAAAATCCTTATTTTCAGGACTATGACATAGATCTTTTGGAAGCATGAGTTTTTATAACAATTGTACACAGCATGAACTGATTGTGCAAAACCTGATTCTTTGATTTTGCCCTATATCATAGAATCATAGAATGGTTTGGGCTGGAAAGGACCTTAAAGATCATCTAGTTCCAACCCCCCTACCATGGGCAGGAACACCCACCACTAGATCACTAGATCACTATTCCTGTGTCGGAAAGGGTGAGGTTAAGCACTTTAGACATATTTCCATTTCAGGGGGAAAATTATTAATGAAGTTGAATGCTCCATCCAGGAGTACTGGCAAGTGTACCTTCAAAAAACTGCAAAGATGTATGAGGTCGCACAACTGAGTTGTGCTTTATCTCCTGCGTTGATATCTTTTGTGAGCACGCACACAACTCAACTGCCCTCTCATACATCTCCCAGCCTGGAGATATCTAAAATATCTCTAAATTTCCTAATTTCCTTTTAAGCTGGGCATGGATTTCTGTTTTCTTCCGTCACTCCAGCCTGCTCTATGAGCAAGCACTCCCCAACACGCACCAGCTGAGTTTTCCAACACAAGTGCACAAGCCTAATCCCGGCGATGTTTGCACCTGTAAAATCAGCACTGTCACCTCGCTCATTCCTAGAGTCCCCAGCACCGTGTTCAGTGGACGCTCCTCTGCTTCTCTGCACATCTGAACAGCAGCTGCATTTAATTTCAAAATGCTCCTTTTTTTTTTCCCCCCCCCCCAAATTCTCCCATTAAACCACGCTCTCCACCTGGGCTGTAAGCTGAGACTAACGCCCACTAAACCAAACGCTGCGTGCTGCATGGACGAGAAGCAACACACAGCGCTGGAGCCCACCTCCCAGGGAAAACACGGACAATTTTTCCCTCACAGCCTCCAGTTTAGCACTTCTGTGTGTTTTCCCATCTCCACGAGATAGTTGCTCCTGATGCCAGAGAGGGGGATGCTTTCGGCAGACCCCCGCTGCTCCTGCTCCCCGACACCGTCCCACCAAGGTCAGGTGTAGGTTGTGTTTGTTCTCCAATTTTTGTAAATATCTGCTTTTACCTAAATGGTAAAATGGAAAGGCGTGGTGGGGGGCTGCGTGTCTTTAAAGCATTTACTAAACCCGTGGGGGTTTCAAAAATGGAGGGGAAAAAAAAAAAAGGAAAAAAGCAAGCAAAGGAATGTAGAAAAACAGCCATATATCTGGAGACTGCTTGGAAAATGTGTCCTTAAAAACAGCAATCACTTTTCCAGACAGGAAAGCTCAGAGTTGCTCCCCAGCCACTTTGCTGCTTAATTCCTTATCTGCACCTCTGCGAAATGGAAGGGCACGGGGCAAAGAGAAGCGCTCGTCATGCTGCTGGCACTCCTGACGGGGAATCTGCAGCTGTAAGACAGCACGGACATGTTCACGGAGGTTTCTCGCGGTGGAAATACTCTTTATAGAAGTGGCGTTTTTTCCTGCTTTTTGCTGGGAGACTGTATTAGGAACCTCCATGTTTACAGAAATATTTTCCTGGAGTTCAACCAGCTAAACCTGAAGGTAGAGCTTTTTATTCGTCACTGTGAGACGTACTAAGGACTGAAGAAAAAAGTAAATGAGCGTGTGGGTTCTACTTCACTCTCTTTACGAGGCACCCCCTTCATAACAGCTATCGGTATTGTATTTAAATCGTATATATTGACAAAATGTAATCTACCTCTGTAAGCATTGTGCCATTCGACAGTACTACTAGTAAATTTATATACCACGGTTTAAATTACATCCATTTCATGAATGGTAAAATGCTAAAACTCAAGTGTCTAACTGCCAAAATACAGTCTTACTGGAATGAGTACAATTTACAAATACAATAATTACATTTTAAAACCATTAACAATGTTACATCTAGAAGTAAATACTGTAGGACTGGTCAAGACGGTGTTTTCCAAGGAAAAAAAAAAAATTGCTGAAAGTTGTCGACACTTCCAACAAAAACGTCCCGAGTGCAAGATTGAGTTCGTTTTCCTTAAACTGTAATTAAAACCCGTTCCACGCACAGCAGTCCTGGGGTATTTTCCATATTATTTTCCATAAACTTCCATAAGCTTCCATCAGTTATCGGCCAAGTATTTACCTGGAAATGGGATGAGAAATCAGCTGCGGGGAGGGAGCAGCCCTGATTCCCGGGGTATGGTTTCCCACCTCTGCTGCACCCCCACGAGCAAGGAGAACACAGGAAAATATTTGGTTTCTATGCAGCAACAGGACAAAAAGAAAATTATTTCTCTTTTCCTGCAGCAATGGGGCAGAAAGAAAATTACTTGGCAGCAATGGGGCAAAAGCTCTTCCTGGAGATCCCCAAACATTGCCTTTCACGTAAGACCCACGAGCAGAGACGAGCCCATGAAATTCAGGACTCTCGTACACCGTAGCAGGATTTATTTCATGCAAGGAAGGTTTTGCTGCCAGCCAGCCCCATCACGCTGTGCCGTGGTGGGACCTCTGGTCAACAGATATACAGCAAGGACAGTCACAGGCATGCTGGCACAGCTGGAGGGGACCATCGGGGACACTGCCACCCCAAGAGGAGCCACCGGCGAGGCACCTACCTGCCGCAAACCTCTTCTTGATCAGGGAGAAGCGGTACCCGGCCCCGACGAGCTCAATGTCGCAGCTCGACAGCGTGCTCCCCTCGCTGGTGAACTGCACGGCCAGGGGGGCCGGGGTGCTGGGCCCCTCCGACAGCTGGAATCGGGCCAGCAGAGACCCCACACCTGCGATTTAAAAATCCCGCACGACACCCTTACAACCCCGCAGAGGCACACCGTGCATCCCAGGGACAGATTTCCCTGCGAAGGCACGGAGATGCCCGAAGCACCGCAACCAAAGCCCACGGTGGTCCCCAACCCAGCAGCATCCCCTGGGGAGGGGGGCAGAGGCGAACCCCCCATCCTCCCAGCAGATTTGAATTTTTCAGACCCCCCAGAGATAGGAAGCAGCTGAGCTGCATGATTTACACGTGGAGAAGCGACCCACGGGAGGCTGCGGTCGCCCCGATGGGGATGCAACACGAGGCATCAGCCTTTGAACGCAGAGAGAGGCAATGGAGCAAAGGGTTTGGCAAAAATCTGCGTCCCAGACGGGTGTGTTTGTACCCCCCCATGGTGCCAAAGCGGCTGGAAAAACAGCACCAGCAGCACCCAGCCCTGCCTTTCAAAGCTCTTTGCTTCTGGCTTTAAATAGCATCCTCCCCAGCAAGCGCCAGCGGGAATCTGTGCGTCCGGACTTGTGTCAGTGTCTGGTTGGAGTATTCAGAGGTAATAACATGCACGTTGGCAGGATTACCTCCATTTTCTGACTTCTGCGAGATATCAGGGATCTTCCACAATATCCTTTGCTGTTCGGCGTTCCTAAAAACACAGGAAGAAGAGCATTTCTGTAGGAAACAAGCAGTTCGAAAGGAAACATCTCAATTTTGCTAAAATCCGTGTGGGCTGGGGGATCAGCTCCGGTGCTGCGCTTCTGGGAGCTTGGCTTTGGGTTTGACCCGAGCAAGAAACCGTCGCTCTGGCATTGCAGGGGAGCGATGGGCGAGAGGCAGCGGGTCTGTGCCCTGCTTCCCCACTGCCAACTTGCCCGTGCCGATGGCCGTGCATCCCTCTGCACCCTGGGATTAAAGCAGCCAAACCCCGAAATAAGGGCTGTTGGTTCCATCCCTACATTCCTTTGGTTGCCAAGAGCAAACACGCTTGTTGTGGGATGAGCGATTCCTACCAGACAGCGGGAGGAAGCACGGCTTGAAGTTTGGTGACTCCTCCATCGACGGGGACGAGGAACTGGACGTTGTTTAGAGCGACCGGTGTGGTCATTGCCTCTGTATTGTATTTGTAGTCGATGCGGAGGTCAGTGCTTGCAGGGTCACACCGCCAGCTCACTGCAAGGTTTAATGGAGTAGACTGAATACCCTGGGCAGATACCTTCCAAAATGACACAGAAAAAACATTTAGTTTCCGTAGGGGTGAAGGGGAGAAATCCCATTTTACAGACGCGGTCATTGCATTTGGTTTCAGAGGGGGGGCAATACCTTGTGTTCTCATAGAAAATCTGTTCTGGGCTCAAAAATCAGGCTCAAAATCAGGCAATCTAGGGACATTCAGAAGGGACTAGTGGGACAGCATGCCTTCAATGCACATTATCTCTGCTCTGCACTAGGGAAATGCCATTTTTTTACATCTATATGTTAAATGCACATATTTTTTTTTTCAGGGTTTTATCTTCCACAAAAACCCCCCTACCTGGTATTTGAGCATATCCACATTGTAATAGGTGGCTTGAGGTTTCTGCTCCGATACCTTCTTTAGGTGAGTCATCAGATTTGGCATGTTGACCCAGAACTCCTTCGTGCTGGTGTCAATCTGGGTGTTGTCACTGCACAGAGGGAAAATTAACCCTTCGTGTGAGCTGCCTCGAAGAAGAAAGCTTTTCTACAAAGCATGCAGCCCCCAGCTGCACCCACATTTAATCCCGTATTTAAATATTGCCTCCCTCCCGCGCATCTCTGCCTCGTCCTCAGAGCCCTCCGGGTCATCGCATTTTGCAAAGAGGAGCTCTAATGAGCAGAACGAGGCACAAAACGAGCAAACCCCCATCAAAGCCCTTGCTCCTCTCTGCCGATGCTCTACTGCCCGGCAAAGGGGCTGCTCGCGTAGTATTCCGGCAAATATTTAAGAGTTTGAGAGTTTCCTACCCAAAATCAGGGCTGGCTTCCAAGGAAGATACTTTAGGTCATGTGCAAAGAACAAAACAGGATGCTGGCGAGGGGGGGGCTTACCAGCAGAGGAGCTGGGGGTTTGGCAGGACGTGCTCCAGCCGGTTGTAGTTGAGCACGCGGAAGGTGAGCACGGCTGGAGCGGGGTTGTTGGCAAAGTGTCGGGTGATGCCGGCTGGAAACGACAGCACCATCTCCCCCGTGATCTTCACGATACACCTGCGGCACCGGACGCAGAGACCGAGGAGGGGGGAAAGAAATGGGGAGAGGGGCTCAAAATGCAGCAGGAGAAGAGGGTTTGCACCAGCCTGCAGGGATGGGGACCGATGGGACGTCCCCATGAGCATCCCAACCCTGAACCTGACACCCCAGCACGCGTGTGCCGAGCCCGGAGCACCTCCTTCCCTCCCTCCCCATCCCTCGAGATGCTCAGCAAAGCCTCAACAGCACCCCAAAAGTGTCCCAACCCCCCATATCGACACCCAGACCCCATCGGTCAGCACCTACTTGCTGGGGTCGGCCCCTTTGAAGTACGCGTTGACGGTTTCCGTGAAAGCAGCGGCGACGGGCAGGGTGTCCTGAGCCCCCATGGTGAGGGGGCTGGGGCCTCGCGACGAGCCTGCAACAGAGCAAAAATCTCCAATTTTTAACGTGCAGGGAGAAACAGCACTGCTCCCCGCCCCAGACAGGGCAAGGGGGTGCTCAAAAGAGCCCCAGCCTCGCTTCATGGGCAAATATTACAGAAAAAAATCCCCCAGGCTTTGGATGAGGCTTGAAAAACATTTTAAAATTATTTTTCCCCCACCCTTGAAAGCAAGCAAAGAAAATAACGGAGGATATGCCCCCGAGCAGCATGCGGGGGGGAGGCTTGTTGGCTTTGCATGACAGTTTTTGGAGCAGGTTTCAAGGAAGGTTGGTTGTCCCTTGGCTGGAGAGCTCAGGCTGCCGGTGGGAAAG